TTCTGGCTGCGAGTTGAGGGGGTGAACGCTGCTCGTTTTTCTTTAATTTTTTTCTGGGACTTCTATTGCGTGGGGTGAAAAACGAACGCGTGTTTCATAGGTCATTAACGTTAGGGATCCGTTTTAAGCGGTATTTGCGCAGAGTACAAAAATTGTTGCGTAGCTCCTTTAACGGTGAAGACATCTTGTGTTGCACTGCGTGATCCAGTGCGTGAAGCGCTCGCGCGCTCGGTGCGTGACTTATGCAGTAAAATGGCGCCTAGGCCTCGGCCGAGGTAGCCGAGGCTACGCCCTCGAGCTCAGTAACACCGAATTGCACCCACTTCAAAATACAGTAGAAAAAAAACAGTTTCGCCGAAAATATGCCTCAGATGTCACCACTCAAACAAAAGGGCGTGTTGTATCAAGCATACATGGGTAAATTACTTTCAAAATGTAATTTAATTAGAATTACAATTACTTTGATTCAAAAGTAGTTAAACAACAATTACAATTACCACTAAGTGAAAATTAATTAATTACAATTCCAAATTACTTTTAAAAATATGCAATTACTTTACAATTACTTATTTCTGAGAGCGACCCGACTTGGGCCATATAGAATGCAACGTATTTGTACATTCCTTGCCGCAATGTTTGAGTAGGCTTAAGCATCGCTGTATATATGCCACGTCTTTCCTTTAATGATTTTTGTTAAATTTATGATGAAACTTGACAGTGTGAGGAAAGGAATTACAATGATGTCATATTTTTTATGCGTAAAAATTATTTAGTTCATCTGCTGGAAGACGCCAGATCCCTAAAGAAAAAATTGGATTGACAGACTTTAGTTAGCCCGGCAAATAAAAATCCGACAATTAGTCATACATGAATATTTTACGAGTGTTAATATAAAACTAAGATCCACACGCGATAATACGATCGCATCCACATACAAACATTATGGTATAGTAAATTATTTACATTCAGTTGAAATTATAATGGCTCAGAAATATATAAGAACCGAATCGGGGCTCCCGAATCATTGGTAACAATATTCACAGGTGCGAGGTCAGTCTCCAAAGTGCTCATGCAGCAAAATATGCGAAGTAAAACCAACAGGAAATGAACTTGAAAATAATACAAAGACTCAAATATGCGACAGTACTAAAAGAAAAATGTAAAAACTGAAAGAAAAAACTTCATAGGCATGTATACAATTAAGATTCCCCAACTCAACTAAAAGCTAAAGCTCAATACTTTTTTTTTTCTCAATATTTTGGCATGTTTACGTTATTGTTTTCTGCTCGCACGGCAGACGACGCAACACTGCGCCGTTGAGGTAGGCTCAAAAGAGGACTGTCTCTCAGCCCGCTGTGTAAGTAACAAAACAACAAACAATGCGACGCTACTTTTATTGTGCGTGTGCGTGGGTGCGTGTCTTTCTGCGAGTGTTTCACCGAGACCTGGGCCGCTTGTGCGAGCGCTGTGGCTTTCAGAGAGCTTCCGTTGGTGCCGCAAAGTTTGGCAAAAGTATTGTAATTGTGCCTGAAATTTCGCAATTACTGACACTATAAAGTAATTAAATTACAATTCCTTTTGACAGAAGGTAATTAACTACAATTACAAATTACCAAATAAAGTAAATAAATTTGAGAATTCAATTACTGTAATTGAATCACTACCCAAGTATGGTATCAAGGCACTCAGCCTCTTGAAAAATCGAAGCGATCCTATAGCGGCGTAGTGCCGCGCAACGCATCTTGAGAAACCTTTGGCACTAAGTTTTGGTTTCGATTTGCCAACCTCTCTTCACGACATCCCGTCACGATCAAATACAGGGCTTGCATTTTCAGATATGATACTTTTTACTAAATTAATAATACTGCAGGTGTTGCCTACCATTATTACCGACAGAATGCTGCAGGGGCATGTTTTTTTCGATCTCCCGACATGCCAGAATGTGTGTGCAGGTAAGAACAGGAGGACTATGGCTAATGAAAGAACAACTATACCGGGTCGGTCATCTTGTTCCGTCGACTCCGTAAATGTCCTAGGCTTCTGCAATTACCCGTGAACAAGGAGGATCATCCTGCATTCTGGTGTGCACTCTTAGAAAAAAGTGTACGGATAGTCCTCCCTTACGGGAGGAACGGTCTTGTAACCTATGTTCCTTTAGAAAGGGAGAAACCTTCGTCCCTGAAGCAGGGGAGCAAAGTTCCACCGTCGCTTGCATCTCAATATGGCGGCCCCGAATCGAGAAAATCGAGCCCAATAAGGCCTAACGAGGACGCTACGTCTCTTGTACGGGACGAGAGCAGCAGCAAATAAAAGCGTAACACGAGCTTTCCGCAAACTGTGTTTATTTCCGAAGCCAGACTCCCCCCACAGGTACAGACACCTGCGTTTCGAAAGCAGTTACTCAGTCTTCTCGTCGACAGCACTGCGATGTTAAACGGAGACAACCGATACCTAGTTACTTCGTGCACTTTGCGTCTTACCTTTGGTGTTCCTCGAGTCACAATTCCTTCGTCAACCGCACATCACGGAGAAGGGCAAACTCACTCCGCGAAACCAAAAGCCGCTCTCGAAAGAACGAACTCGAAGCCGCTGCAGCCGCTGTTTATCGCGTAGCGTCAGTAGCGTGATAGAAGGTTAAATCGCTAGCCACCAGATGGCGGGGTCAAGCAGAGTAATTGCAAGTAGCTAGGATAGGTGGCGCTAGGTACCGCCCAATTCATGTTCTACAAAAAATAATTTGCTACTCTCAGGCCACTACTGTGCTTGAGGACCCTCTACTATACACACATGACACCCATACACTTATTACAAGCATCAGGTGAACATACATTAAGCACATGCACTGCACACACAAATATCAATACAACGGAACACCACACTAACCCGAACACTACACCCGTGCTCTGCGTTTCCGTCTTTTATACTGGTCGTTTTGAACGTGCGGAACTTTTCGGTGACTCCCTAAGCAATAAAAAATATTCCCAGCATGTTGATTTTTTCCCTGCATTGTCATACCTCTGAGAGTATTTTGAATGGCTCAGGGGTTGAATCTCTTATTAAAAAGTAAACGCTCAATCATGCCGTAATTATTTGAACGCCAATAAATCAAGCCGCTCCAATGCGGTTCGAAGCCATGAGTTTGTTTCCCCACACGGCAAGTCGTAGCTTGTATCTCTATTTGTTTTTCTATTTGTGCTGTTCGCGCGAAGCTGCAATTGCCGTTTGAATTAATCTCTGTAGAGTGGATATTCAGTCAGCTGGAAGTGATGATTCACGGACTGAGAAATTGCTTTTCATTCAACTTGAATGCAGTCAAAGCCGCGACTTGCGGCAGGTGTTAAGTGTACGGAACTACGCCGTGGCGAGCCCGAAAACTTCTAGCGCTCATCCCAGCGCGCCACGGAGGGCAGTTTCTCCAGCAACCGTAGTATAATTAAACAGCAAAATAAAGGGTAGCTTTTTTTTCGATTTTACCTACTATTGTTTTTAATGCCGAAATTCCATACTGTAAATATACGCACTTTACGTCACGCTTTCGTACTGTTCAGTCCTTGCCCCTGAGCGCAATCGCTGTCGGGGACGAGACAATTCCGACAGTCACATTGGCCACTGTACGGTAGGAGCTTCTACTGTTCAGACCAGCGTTCCAACATGACTATCCGCACGTTGATCGATTGCACGTGATCCCTCAAGTGGTATTAAACTTTTTAATGTAAAGCGGAATGTCAACCTGCGACACCCCGCCCCCTCCGATCACAACCCGACCAGCGGCATCAAAGCCCAACAGTTTACGATCTCATCTTCTTGTTACACCACTGATACGCGAACACATGGTCACATCGGCGATAATTCCAGTCTTCTGTTCACAACCCGAACACTGTCATCACGATGTTGCAGCTATGTTGCTGACACGCACAAACACAAAACCACGTTGAACGCCCGTTGCACTCGGCATCGGAAAACAGAACCGAACTCAGGGGGGAAGGCACCCAGGCAGCCGGCAGCAAAACCTGCCTGTCTTGGACGCAGTTCCTGCAGTTTCCATAACGTCGAAAACCTCGACACAGTTCCGCGTGCTTTCGCTTGTAGTCTGTAGTGCTGCAGCCTGCAGTGGCTGTAGTTCCGTCGTTCCGTGCCGCGCGAGTCACGCAATCCGGAGACGGCCATCCCCCAGTGTACGTGGCGCTGCTGGCACTGCTCCGAACTTCGCTGTTTCTAGCGGCTTCGTTTGCTCGTTTGATAAAATTAGTGATAAAAACCTCAATGGAACCGAAATGTTCTGCACGTTTAAACTAGAAGATGGAATTACAGGCGGCCTTCGCTGCTACTGGAGCCCAATCAACTCAACAGCTCTTTATGAAACAACGCGCGCGACCTGCTCGAAAAACGAAACCGAAAGACGATGAGTCGGGAGGGCGAAAGCTTTCTCCCGTCTGCCTGGAGAAGGAGAAAAACATTTCGTTCCTCCCCTTTTCTCGTGTCCGCTTGGGGGCGCGTCGGTAGAAGGGAGGAAGGCGCGCCGTTGCTACTTTTTTCCTCCATTTTTTCTTAGAGTGTGGTAGCCAGACCGCCAGAAAGGTATGGGACGCGACCGCCCGTGTTCCTGCTCCTCGCTAAATCTCGACAGGTCGATCGTTATACTGCCGCTGGATGTCCTCGTTTCAACGGGATCTCTCACAAAGATGAAAAGCAAGCGAGTGCCGTTTTTATTTACCTGCAGTGCTGAGATGAACTACTTTGTCAACGGGACAACTGAAACCGAAACCACTCTCCATGGCCAAATGGGTTTCATTATGCAACGCGCGCAGTGTTGTGTACAGGGATTTTCGGAAGTAGTTTATTATAGAAGTAGGTCAGTAAGTGTGTACAGGGAAACTTTCATACAAGTGGTTATTGGAAGTGATAGTAGTCAGTGGTAAATTCAAACTCTCGAAGAATATTTCGACGCTCATCTTTGGGCGGAACTCTCTCGATGTACAGCGAAGGTATGAATGGCGACATTCATTTCATAAATAAATATTTATTGACGGTGTTGTCGATGTCTATGAGGTCGCATGATGTTTTTCGGGGGTTGTGGGGAACCACGGCAATCTGGAGCAAGCACCACGCTTAACAGCAGCATTCTGTAAAAGTGGGGAAAACAACAAGGAACACTTTAGTTGTTAAAACTGATGCAAAGACAGTGAGCCAGTGTTCATTCTGGATTGCTTTGGTGTTTGAGCTTGTGAAGAACGTATACTAACTCGTTCTTGCGCATTAAACCGTTGCCTAAAGCTAATAAACTTCGTTTATTAACTGCAGGTTCTGTGATATTCTTCTTCAAAAGTTTCATGTAACATTTCTGAAGTGGCGTCAAGCTAACAAAGACAACTCCCTCCCAACCACCGAAAAGGACAACCCTGACAAAATAAGTAATGTTATCCGTTCATATCGTATCGCAAACAGAAATAGAAGCACTACGACCGTAAACGGGCTGTAACGTTTATGTATACCGTATACGTACTCTTCTCAGCGCTCTTCGGCTTGCACTTGTCACAAGGGCACTCTCCAGCCGGACACTTGCACGAGTCGGTGCAGATGCACTTGGGATCTGCATGAGGGGCAAATCATAAGTTGAGTTAAAAGCGCTTACTGGAAGACAGAAGTAGTGAGTGTTTGTACTGTCACCCGGGCGGGCGAACATCGTTCATAAAAGTTGTCGAATGCCCTTTCAACATAAAAATAATGCTGTAAAACGCCTTAGAACAGCATGTATAATGTAAATTCGGATTTGTAACAGCAAGGAGTGGACACGTCAATCCCTGAAGCTCCTCCCTCATAAATGACATATTCCCGGAGGCTCTAATCTGGACATTGCGAAATATTCGGTGAGTAACTCGGCCGGCGTTCTTGGCTTGTGGCAAAGTTGAGTGCGGCGCCGGCCAATCACGGCCGCCGAATTCCTCTAACTTCTTGGCCAAATGTCCAGATCAGACTAAATGGAGTCGCCCAGAACACGAAACTGACAGGCCGGTGGAAGTTACCCGCTCGTTGATCCAGTCAAACGTCGGTTTTGCGTCACGTGGCAGGGCTCTCTGCGCATACTAGAGCGGAGAGCGGGATCACGCGACGAAAGAGGGCGACTGACTGGTCTGACGAGTTCGCGTAACGTACTAAAAAATGCGACGTTTGGAGTGTTAGTGTTTCTTCCAAGTGAACAGGGTAGCGCCGATACGGGAAAATGTGTCTTGATTGCAGAGAGCTCCCAACTGCGCCATCGGGGCAACCTGGTTCACGGGCCGTATTCGATGTACCCAAGTGCGGATGTAGGCGTTTTAAGGGGAGGGAAAGGGGAGTCAGCGTATCAGATGTTTGAGAAAACACCCCCCCCCCCCCCCCCTAAACTTGTACACACGAGTAATTGAAAAAAAAAAAAAAAAGGTGGGGGGGGGGGGGGGAGGGAGAGGGAGAGGGGCTTTGGAAATTTTGACTTCTCCGTCACTGGATGCATTGTGCAACCGCAAGGAAGTGGCAAAGCGGGACCAAAGGCGTGACGATCGTCTGCAGGCGTCTCTGCCTTTCCCCATGGCCTCAACCGTCCTCTACATTCGTACCTGCGACCAACTTGCCCACGTGGCGTCCGTCATTCAATTTGCAAATTCTCGCCTGGTTTCAGTTGCTTCGCGTCTCAAATCGAGGCTCTCTGAAGCTGGGCTAAGGCTCGTGCTGCCATCTGTGAATGCAGGAAGAGACTCGATATGGGATGCAAAGACTGGTGCTGCCATCTTTGACCGATTGTGCTAACTTCCGTGCTTTCTTTTCCAAGCAGTGCTGCCAACCTTAGCGAGGATTTTCCCCTAGATTTAGGGATATCCGTCATCTTTTAGGGTCAAAAGAATTTGCTCAAACCTAGGGTTAGTCTTTATGGTAGTGTTTCCGCAGGTTTTGAGGGCTTTACAAACAAGCTCCTTCCCCTGTCCCTCTTTGTGCCGGCCGATCGTAGCGTGAAGAAAGTTTATTTGTATATTTTCGGGACCAGAGACAATCTCCTGCGGTAATTACAGCTTTTTGGGGGGCCACAGACAGAAGGAACTAACAAAGTATCGATATGTAAAAAGGTTCCAATGAAGCAAATTTAACCTTCAAATGGTCACTCAACTACGGGAATATATTATATATGTTTAAGCTACCCCATAGCGACAATATCAACATTGACGGAAATGAACACACTTTCTGAAACCCTAGGGAAATCTAAGGAATTTCCCGACAAAATTGAGGAAGAAATGATCGTAGTGGTCGGCAGCACTGTTTCTGAGAGCCTCTGCATATGAATGCAACAGAAACAAGTCGAGTCTGACTTTTATCAGCCCTATGCAGTGGGCTCCCTTTACCTAGGCTATTCATACAGACTGGAGCACTGCTTTCTCGCGGCTCCACCTACTACAGACATACTCATTGGAGAAACGCACCACTTTTGATGTTCATATTCAGAAGCGTTACGCAACCTTTCAGGTTCAGAAGTCTCGTTTCAATGTTAACCGACAATTATATGTACTAAGTAGTAAACATTCATTAAATAATAAACTCTGGATCTAAGGGAGCCATAATTCAAAGGGGAAAAAACTGAGTTCTTTGGTAAAAGCAATGTACGAGAACTGGCGAAAGACAGCAGAGTAATCTGAGCATAAACGGAAAGGCACAAAATGTCAGAGTATAAGTCACGACTTTTAGAACTTGACAAAGTTAGCAAGTTATTTGCCGGCGAAGTTAGTAAGTTAGTTGCTAGGAAAGTTAGTAAGTTAGAAAAAGTTCCCCGAAGTTCGAACTTTCAAGACAAAATGAGTGAAATATGAATCCAGAAACAAAGTCTCACCTCCGCATTTACAGTCACGGTCCATGATGCTCCTCCTTGGTCTTCTTCGAAAAGATCTTCAGAACTGCTGGTGCTCTTCGTAGATTTCGTATTCCGCGCCACAGCTTTTATAGCGAAATTTGAAGCGCTGGTGCCGTGTGCAAAATCTATCCCGATTGGCTGGCTGAGAGTAGTCACGTCGTCTGCAAAGGCAAGGATCGTGTGCAACACAAGAGCCAATCGGCTCGGCGCGAAAGCTATTGTATGAATCATAACATATCTTCCAGAAACTTCTAGCCCACGTGAGCGATATTGGTTGCTCTAGCAACGCCTAAGATAACAGAAGAAAAACAACTGGAGCCAACAGCTGACCTGAGGCTGATAACACCAAAGTACGAAGCACTAACAATAAAAAAAGAATCAAGTGACACCTTTTCTTACGTCAGCCGCAGCTGGTGTTCAATTTTTTTTTCTTCCTAATTTCGAAAAAAAAAGAAGAACGTTCCTTGTGTTTTTTTTTTTTTTTTGTTTTGTTTTTTATTGTGTTTTTTTTTTTTGGGGGGGGGAGGGATTTTTAGTATTGAAGTGAGTTTAACTCATGTAAAGGTGCTCTTTAAGAGACATTCTGATTACCACCTTGGATGATATTTGACAAATTACAATGCGTGTAGGCATCACATAAATAAAAAAAAACGTTATGTATACGTGTACGTGTACGTTAATTATCGATAGTGGAAGCATGGTCGCACATCACAAAATCGCTTAAGGCCCGTTCACACTTGCGACAGTCGCTGGAGCGACCAGCGACTAGCGACTGGTTTGGGTCGCGGAGCGACCAAAACAGGTCGGTTGCGACCGATTTTTGGCAGTCGCTCCCTGACCGATTTCTCAAGTCGCAAAAATGAGTCGCTTTAACGGCGGAGCCAATCAGAGGATCAGAGTCTCGTCGGAAGTGACGTGTGCGTTTGTTTACATCCGGCACTGCTACCCGCGGGAAATAGCGACGCGCGCACGGCGGCGGTCACTGGCTTGGAGTTCTCCGCGAAAGCTCTTATTAATGCTGTCAAAGACTATTTGTTTCTTTACAATAAGCGGCACCCCGACCACAAGGATCGGGGCAAAAAGCTGCAGGCCTAAAACGAGATCGGCGACATTTTCGGCTTGGTAGGTACGTACAATATCACGGTTGAGGGAGCGCACATATAGCCGCTGTTTTACGTTCCGAAGCACCATTACGTTTTCTTGTTTTTTCCTGCCGGCACCTTTGATCAGAAAAACCTTTCAGCCGGCTCGAAAAGGTGTCGATTACTATCCGTTAAGTTGGCAGCGAGCCTGGCGACCCGTCGGTCGCTCAATCAGGTGTGAACACTGGTGGTCGCCAGTCGCTTGTCGCTATTCGCTCCAGCGACTGTCCCAAGTCGCAAGTGTGAACGGGCAATTATAGTCGCACGGCAGTGACGTATATGTTTGTGGCACCCCGAGATAAGACCTTGCACGTCGTTTAGAGTCATGTTAGAATTAGGACTGTCTCATACGAACTTTTGCCGAACCTAGGGTCCGACTGCTTCGGCGAGCCTCTGTTTTTTGGCAAGAATCGAATGGACGAATGGATGGATGCTAACGGCTGTAACCTTTATAACGGGCGGTAGCTTGCGCCACCTAGTCTAGAAACTATAATAATTACATTCCCCTCTGCTTTTTGCAACTATTACCAGGTGGTGTGAGATAGTGCCAAAAAATGTTAAAGCACGGGCAAAAAAAAATATTGACAGCAGTGGCGTAGGCAGAGGGGGGGTTTGGGGGTTCGAAACCCCTCCCGAAACGCGGGGGGGAGGGGGGGGGGGCGCTGGCTCCCCTGCACACGCAGTCGGTTTTGCACGGGTCATGGAGCAAAGGGGGAGCGCAGACTATATTCAACTTATATGTTTTTGGGAAAAGTTTGTGGGGTGGAAAATGCTCATATAAATAAGACAGGCAGCATTCCTTCATTCATATATTTAATAAGATACGGAACTTGATCTCAGATATATAGAGAACGGATATTTCGAAACACTTGTTATTTCCGTCGTATGTTGATGGTGGCGATCAAGGAAAAAAGCTGTATGTCACAGCTTGACAAGTCCTTGACCAATGAACGAAAAAAAAACTATTTACAAATCTTGATTACCGCAATTTTACAAAGCGTGTTTAGAACATAATAAATGTTATCATGGGCTATAACAGGAAAGTGACCTATTTGCAGACAGAAGTTATGAGACCCCAAAAGTTTAGTTCATTCTCAGATTCATATGTGGAGAACATTAGTCGAATTTCTCTAAGAGACAATGTACTGAATTCCAAACTTTTATCTTCAAGTAGGTTAAGTATTTTTGGGATAGTATGTTTAAGCATTTGTGTGCAATAGTTCGTTCTTGCAGTGATCACCTCCCAACATTTAGCACGACGGGTAGAACACGCGCGAATATTTTGAGAGAGCAAGGTTTATCAAAACGTTTGAACCCCTAATTTGTTATAGTTTTAGATTAGTCACACGTTTATACTAAGTAGAGCATGTATATTGACAACACGAAACTTCTTAAATAAACTATCCGTGTGGAAGTCAAATTTAACGCTTTTTTTGCAACAAGTGTATATTTTTAGATTCGTTGAGTTTGTTGTACTTCAAACTAAACTACAACAGTCTATGTGGGAGTAAAGTAACGAATTGTATATGGGTGATTTCATTTGAATTCGACCAAACTTGTCGGGGGGGGGGGGGGGGGGGGGGGTCTTTAGATTTAATCGTAAAAAATATATATGATACCCGAATCCTTGTGATGAAAGAAACTGCCTTTGAAAAAAATTAGAATTGTATAGTTTGAGAGAAAAAAATTCTGAGGCGCTGCAGGGTAGAAAACGTCAAATTCCCAATTTGATTTTATCTCGACTTTAGCCGCCATTTACAAAATATCGAATTCTTGCAAAATTATTATATTTATTACGCAATATTTACGCAGACTTGGCTATTTTTAGAGGTAAATTTCTGTCTTGTGTTATTTTAAATTAATTTTCTAAAAAATCTCAAACATGCAACCTAGAGCAAGTGTGACGCAACTTCGGACAGCTATATAAAACGAACGGTAGGGCGCAATGACGTGAGACAGATATCTGTGCGTAGCTATCAATGTAAGCTATCGATTGACATGTATTTTCTGGTTATTGTGTTTACCGTGTTGTTTTTATTCTGCCACAAATATAGACAAAAATGAAAAATATGCAAATTTTGAAGTCAATTTTCTCAAAAAAGCCATTTTTTATTTCGTTCATACTTTTTTAATTCATTGCCCAGATTCTGCTTAATAACCGGGTATAAATATTGCTTGACCTTTTTTTGTTGTAGTTTTAGGACAACCAGTTGAATAAGTCATTTTTATCGCGTAATACCAACCTCCGGCTCCGGTATGCGGGCTTCACCGCAACATTGATAATTGGCTCAGCAATATCAGATTTCACTGAAAACTACTTTACCCCGTTGAATTTTTACTAATATATTTTTTAAAAAATCAGTAACGTCATAAAGAAATGAGAGATGACTGAATTGACGAAGTGATGTCTGCGAAGTCACAGCTTGCATTTTCGAACGTCGCCACGACAACATTTTACTACTGAGGTTGCACGAAACTTATATATTTAAATTATTTGTTTGAACATTGTGCCGTGATAAACAACAACAAAAGTAAATTTAGTTAACATCAATGTTAACTAGCCCAAGCGAGTGGAGAGATCCAAGACGTTTCATCCGTTTCGATCATGTCGGGTTGCATTCTACGGCACTATCCAGTCCAGAAAAACAATATCCCCGTTTATGCGTTTCGGACAATCTTTATTTTATACAAACATTATCGGAAAATCGGCTCGAATTTTTTAAATTTACCGCATGGCATTCTTTCGCCTATCCTTCATTGGCCCTTAGTATTCCGAGGTACGTGAAAAAAAAATTGACTACATTTTGTCCATCCTTCGGCTTTTGGACTACTTGTTGCATACGTTTAAATTTTTTGGGCTACGCACAGCATATCGGAAGTTGCTTTTCAGCTTACAGTAATCATACTCTTTTGTTGGCAGTATGCAATAAAACATTCATAGGTAACAGTTTAACAAAATCACTCTATTTATTGAGTAGTTTATTTGGGTTAACAAGGCACACCTATAGAAACACATAATTTTTCACAGAAGCGCAAATGTACAAGAAGAGGCTTTAACAACAAAACAAAACAAAGCCGTAGATCATCTGAGAGTTCCGCACGAGCACCACAGAGGTTCATGCATTAAGACGAAGATAGAACAGTTCGCTCAAGCTGCACTTCGCCCCTTTCGCGTCGCCACACGTGCGAAGCGCGGATGCCTTTCCGAGTCGGTACGCAACTCCACTCTGTTTTCTTGATTCTGCGGAAGTCACTCACCTCCTTCTCGGTTAAGTTCATGAGAGTTACGTTTTTGACACGCCTTCCAACCTTGTCCACAAAATCTACTGATGTTCGGACGAGCTGCTCCTCCGGTGAACGGAGGTTGTGCACCGTTGCGTGGTGTTTGAGAAGCCCTCCAACCCCGTCACAAGAGTTTTTACCATGCCCAGAGGCAGAAAATATCCACTTGAATTGGGTATGGCCCACTCGTTCGAACTCATGCAGCTGAAATCTATTTTTAAAATGAGCAGGTGCCCCGTCGGATATGTACGTTAGTGAAGCATAAACTGGGATGTGCTCCTCCAGCCAGTCTTCTATAAGTCTCAGAGCCAGCAGCGCATGGGAAGTGTCATGACATAAGTCCTCACAGACAACGCCGAAGCATTTTGAGCCTTGCGACGTGGATGCCACACACGTGAACACAGAGAGCTGACGCTTGTGGCAGTGGTACTCCTGTATCTCGTGTGGCAAAATTACCGTCCAGTTCTCCGCAAAATCGAAGTGCATGACGATGTGTCTTGAGGTCACACTAGACTTCTCAATCCGTATGGCTTCCCGTTGTGTCCTACGAATAAAATCGTGCGTGGAAAACCTTGTGGCCCATTTCTGTAGCTCTTTCAAAAAGGCGCTGGAGTCGGCAGTCTTGCTTA